CACAGAGGCTGACAGCACCTGGCACAGGGAGCGGTTTGAAGGGAGCAGTAAGCAGAAGTAGTGGAGAAGTTTCCCAAGGAGTCCTGATGGCAGTCCTTATGCTATCGCTCATCCTCTGGAACCTTTCCCTGCACTAGGCACACTCTGATAGATAGGTTCCTGTCCTTGATCTAGGCACAATCAGAATGAGCGCCAACTGCAGTGAACCAATGTGTTTTATAAGCTCTGCCATCACTAAAGATTTTAGGTCACTCAGATGGCAGCTTCCAATCAGACAGCAGTCCACCTGATGACAGGTATGGAGGCCTGAGAGGAATGGGAATGACCTCCACACTCCCTGAAAGGTGGATACAACAGCGCAACCTGTGCCAGGAGGTCATCCTGTTCTTGCCTACAGGGGGGAGGGTGCCATGTTGTGGACACTATGTGCATGCTCCAGATTGATGGACAAATAATGGATCCAGGCATCCCTTCCACCCGGCTGCTACTACTGTCACACCATGCTCCCTTCAACTCAGCTGCCCACAACCCTCAAAATGCTCCACACATGTGCCCCCACCCTGTTGTCAGAAAACAAGCAAATGGCCAAACATGGTCATTGAACCTCTATGTTAACTATGGGAAGCAAAAGGATGGAAGAGGAAAAAAAAGAGAATGAGAGTGCTAGAGTATGCAAGACAGTATGCCACCAACGTCATGCATTAGCAGTGGGGAAGGCTGACGCAGTTGCTCATACTTGGCAGCAGGTTTTACTTTAATGAAGGCCCCTTCAAAAGCACAGGCTCACCTTCCTTTCATTACACTGATGGTCTGTTCTGCTGGCAAGAATAAAATAAAACAGGTACTTCCCAAATTGGGGGGGGGGGCATGTAACTCACTCCCCTTCCCCCAAGTGGCAGTGCTGCTGCATGGCTATTGACTGTTCAACCATGGAACACTGTCATACAGGGACAAGGAGAGATTCTGGTTGCTCCCAGTGCCCCTATGGAGCAATAGTGGAAGGAGGGGAAGGTGGTGGGGCTGCAATTAAACTGAACCTGTTGCTATGGCCTGCATAGGAATATCACAGGTTCACTTTAGGGTTTGATGGGCGCTTGTTTCTTTACAATTATACCTAATGTATAACAGTAGCAGCATATGTTATTGTGTAGGAGCACTATTTACTGTACAGTACAAAAAAGCTGAAGTAGGCAAGGACCTCTATGGATTATTGCTCAGACAGAATTCTGGAGCTTGGGGGGATTCACTTTAAGAGTAAAAGCAATAGCATTTTTTAAAATGAAGTTTAGTTATATTTATGGTATTTCACAATGGTTCTAATAGTGGTAAATACAATTATTTAAAATTCTCCCACTTTCTTCTAATGCGGTTTTATTAACAAAATAACCCAATGACGCCATCATTTGTCAACGCAATGCACAGCACACCTTTAGTGTCTTCCTACGATTCCAGGTTTTAACTTTGTGAAAAAGCTTTAGTTATAATTGAAACATAACTGTGCTATGACTAACAGTTTTATTATGTTCCTTAGTAGCAAAGGATAATCCCTGCCAGTTTTAGGGCATGAAATCACTCAGAAGTCATTGTGAATGTCATTTGAAAATATCTTCAAAAGCCAAGAGGGCCTAAAGATCTTGCAAAATCGTTAGCTTTGTCTGTTAACTATCCTATATCCTACCTTATCTTTTGTATATTATAATTACATACTTACTGTGAAAGATGTTCTCTGATTGAACAAGGCAGAGTTCGTGACATCATCCACCCATCTGTGCCTCATTCATTGAAATAATACAGGATGTTTTCTGGGCAGAAATGCTAAGCAAGCAACCAATGTAAATTTAAAGATAAGATCACTCCAAGAGTTCATCTTTAATGGGTTAGTTCACCTTTGTAAAAAAAGTAAAAGTGAACCAATAGCAGACACCCTCTCCACCCACCGCCCTCCAATACACATTCTACTTACCTCTTGGGTTGCTAAACTGTCAGCACCCCCACAGCTGCTCCAGCAGTTTGGGGATTTTAAATCCCCACTGTTCTCTATATTCTCTGTCAGCCATCGCCATTGATGTGATGGCGCTGACCAATCGCAATCTATCTGGTCTGTCTGCGGGGTGTTGACAAACTCAACAAACCTGGAGGTAAATAGAGCGGGTATTGAAGTGGGTAGGGTGTCTGCTGTTAATTCATTTTTACATTTTTTCTGTAACACTTTAAGTAAATATTTCCATTAGACAATTATACACTGCTTACTATTAAAAAAAAAAAAAATTATGCAAAGTCACTTCTTAAAAAAAACAAAAGAACAAAAAACCTAATAGAAAATAAGTCTAATAGGACAGAAAGTTTACCAACCACATTTAAAAGATAGACTGAACACCAAATCACAATGCAGTTTCCAAGAGTACAATGCTAGATGTGTTCATTGTGAAATGAATGAGAATATTCATTGTGCTGTGTAAACCCTACATTTATTTTTCAGTATATTTGGCATCATGCCTCACCAAATCAAGTTTTCATGGACAAATAATGTTTTGTGAATCTGTTGCAAAGTTTCATACCTGGAAATCCAATTAATAGCAGCACTTCCTGTATCAGGGTGACAATGCTAAGTTATTATCTTGCAATTAGCAATAGTGCTGCCATGCAAGCTTCCTGTGATTTATTTATTCTGCATTAAAATGTATGAAAAATACACATTTATACCTTTTAGTACATGCTACTTATTTTCATTACTGCATTATTAGTATCTCTGCTAAGCTTACACAATGGTCATTCAAAAAAAGGAACATGACTGTTCTGGTGGCTGGGGTTGGTAAGTGGGTTGATTAGCATTTTCCAGATCTGTTTTATATATTGTCAGCACAGCAATAATAAAAAATGCAATAACTATGTACTGTCAGTTGTCACACACACACACACATATACATATATATATATACATATACACACACAGTGTATGTGTATATATATATATATATATATATATATATATATATATATATATATATATATATACACATACATACACACACACACTCTCTCTCTATATATATATATATATATATATATATATATATATATATATATATATATATATATATATAAAATAAATTTTATCAGAAACGTCCTGTGCATGACTATATATACATCGTTACAATGAGTAACAGTAAGTACAGTATTCCTATCTTGCTGTTCATAGACACAGGTCAATGAACAAGAACCAGTGTAATAGTATCCATGTGCTAAAGGTGTGCATGGATTTCCATCTTGGCAGGGACTGGCAGAGTGGAGAGCATGGACTGTGAGTCAGTGGTCCAGCAAACGCTAAGCAAACATGATATATTATAACATTTGCTGTCAGCTGATTGACTGGCCAAGCTAGCTGATTAAGTGGAGATACTTTGCAACTCAGTGGATGAGAAAAGAAAACTAAAACTTAAAAGTAAGAAGGTAAAATAGAACTGCCAAGTGAAGGCCTCAAATAAGAAGAGGCTCTATACTTAGCTTTGCAGCGGCTTATGTTTTGAAACACGACCATAATGCTGCTCTGCTCCCCTTGCAGGTATTAGACCGGTCAGTTGGGTCTAATATTGGATTCCCCTTCTGCACGCAGTGGTTCCTTCTTCCAGCTAATACATCCTGTAGTGTTTGGTGGGGGACCAGGCATTTTGCACAGGCCAGGCAGTCAGGGAGAATTACAGCAGCATTTCAAGACACGTGCCACTGGATAGGTAAGTATAGAGCCTCTTTTTTTCAAAGGTATGCTGTTTTCCTCTTTTGACTGTGCAAGGCCATTATAAAGTCTGATTCCATAGCTTGCTTTAAGATAAGTGTTACATTATTAGTGCCTGGCACGTGTCTGTTGGCAGGGGTGGACTGCCCATTTGAAAACTCGGGCACTGCCCGAGGGCCTGGTGTCAGTAGGGGGCCCCATGAGATGCCCCTGGTACCTTTTTCATAGGCTTTTTTGAGTTTGGGCAAGGACACAGGGGCCCCATGATCCCCTATTGCCCGGGGGCCCCATGAGTTGTCAGTCAGCCCCTGGCTGTTGGGGTATCAATCACTGAATCTTTGAAGAGAGTGTGTGAAAGTCTGTCCCACACCTGGTATTACCTGAACTTTCAGAATGATACCAGCAGCAATTGCAGTAGTGGACAGAAATGGTGAGCATATGCACCAAGGGGTTACTACTGTACATTGAGGTGGTTGTATTCATGCCTTAGTGTATGTTACATACTCCAAACCTATCCACCCTATGCTATTCAATATATTACATACACCAGAAATGCTGTACTCTGTACACTGTGCTGAACCTTCATACCACTAACAATTTTTTTTAGGAAGAGAGGATCTCACCCAATTCACCAAACAGGCATTACTGTTACTGTATCATTAAAGTGTTACTAAACCCAGGACCCTGCATTCACTATATCTGGTCTCCCACACCCACAGTACACAGAACATGGGAATGCAATTCGCTTAGTAAATATAAACTGCTAAATACCTTTTCTCATCAGCATTTAGAGCAGTCTTGTGACTTCTATCAGTATCCATCTGCGCAGCTGAATTAAACCTTGTAGAAGGTGTTTTCATTCTCCTATGACTGCCCTATGAGGCTACATAACTCCTGACCTTCTGCCTGGACAGCTCTGATTGGCCCTGTGCTGATCACATGCAGTCTCCCAAAGAAGAAAAAAAAAACTCTCTAGCACATACACACTAAACTGAGCATGTGCAGGGTGACTCCAAAAACTCTGTGTTATCAGGAGCTGAGTAGGGGTCAATGGAAGAAAGGGAGGATCAGAGAAGTCAGGATCAAACAGCCTTTTTACACAATGCAGAGGATTTACCCCTTAGGTTTCACAGTGAGTATGACAAGCATAGTATGACAAGCATGCTTGACTGCATATACAGACTGATTTTACTGTTGTGGGTTTAGTATCACTTTAAGAAAAGGCATATGAGTGGATTATCCAGTCATCGTTTTAATTCTGTTTACAGGCATCTGGTGTGACAGTTAATGATGAGGTCATCAAAGTGTTCAATGATATGAAGGTGAGAAAATCACAAACAGCAGAGGAAGTAAAGAAGAGGAAGAAGGCTGTCCTGTTCTGCCTGAGCCCTGACAAGAAGGAGATCATTGTGGAGACAGAGAAGCAAATATTAGTGGGAGATATTGGCTGCACAGTCGAGGATCCATACAGGACCTTTGTTAATCTTCTACCACTTGATGACTGCCGTTATGGACTGTATGATGCTACTTATGAGACCAAGGAATCCAAGAAAGAGGACCTTGTCTTCATCTTCTGGTACATTCCTTAGAAGAATGTGGTAACAAATGACACAATTTTCCCAAATATCAGTGTTGCTTGAGTAAAGTCTGTACAAATGTGATATAGTTTTCATAGGCCTACACTTAGGAGGAGTCTGAGGAAATTGAGCAATACTAAAATCCAATTAAAGCGATACTAAAGACTTAATTGAAAAAAAAAAAAAAACAAATATGTTATACTTACCTGCTCTGTGCACGGGTTTTGCACAGAGCAGCCCCAATCCTCTTCTTGGTTCCTCCTCCCCCGTCGACTGGCCCCTTAGCAAGCCATTTGCTATAGGGACACTGTGCATGCTTGTTCTTAAGCCCCGCTCTGTGTGTCCATAAGACACACAGAACAGGTCTCAGCCTTGCCCCCACCCTCCCCCATATGGAAGAGAAATATATTTTCAATATATTTAGAAAAAAAAAATTAAACATGCAACATATTTACAATATACTGGCCTACACTAATATATTTTAACATGTATTCCAAAAATGTAAACAAAAATATATTTTCTAAAGGCATATATTTAAAAATATATTTTTCAAAATATATTTTCCAGATATTTTTGAACATCTAAAAAAATGAATTTAAACATAGATTTTTAAATATACTTGTAAATGCATTCCAAATTACACTTTGATATATAATGCAGCATGTGTTCTGAATATATTTTTAATAATATATTCACAAATATATTGAAATATATTTTTGAAATATATTGAATATGGCCAAAATTGTAGTATTTGAAATATATGTCAATATATTTGGGAAGAACGTATTAACCCCTTCCCGCCGGCGCCTCCCGGCCCTTTAAGAGTTTCAGAAGCCGGGAGGCGGGGCATGGTTTAGGGATCATGTGACTGCCGTGACGCGTCATCATGGTGGTCACATGATCGGGAAAGGTCCTGATCGAAAGAGCAGACCGGGACCTTTCCGTGAGTACCGAACATGTGTGCTGGGAGCGCGCAGGGCGCGCGCTCTCAGCACATATGTTTTTTCTTACCTGAACGCAAATGTGTGGCCGCTCGGCCTCTAGGCCCAGATGCCAGGAGGCTGCACATTTGTGTGTGGCCGGTGTAAAGGGGTTAAGAATGTATTTTAAATATATTTTTCTTCCATGTGGATCTCGTCACTGGCTGTGATTGACAGCACCCAGTGCCAATGGCTTCTGCTGCTGTTTCTAAGCCAATGAGGAGCCAGCACAGCAGTTGCTCTCTGCCACATTGCTAGAATGGAATAGAGTACGTAATAGGGGGCTGCAGGGGAGCTGCATACTGAAGGTTTTTACCTTCATGCATAGAATGCACAAAGGTAAGAAAAACCCTCAGGCTTTATAACCTCTTTAAAATGAAACTACGCCAACAATAAATGCAATAAAAGTAAATACACATATTCCTATTTAGGCTTTTTATCAAAGCCATGTACATGCTATAACCTACATTTTATAGCATTTTTTTTTTGCATGCATTTCTGACACTTTTGACACTTTGTGGGAACCAGTGATACTAATACAGTGATCAGTGCTTAAAAATATGCACTGTGACTGTACTAATGACACTGGCTGGGAAGGGGTTAAACATATAGTGCAGTAAAATGGTTAAATGTGTGCCTAACCAGTGTTTTTGTGTGTACTATGTGGTGCTTTCACTGATGGATGTGCTGGTTTTTATTCCCTGCTTTGCAGGGAAACAAAATCCAGCAAATCCCAGCTGACAGGACAGAGCTCTGCCTTGTTTACATAGACAGAGCTCTGTTCTGTCATTCACCTTGTCGATCAGTGGGTGTTGGCGGTAATCCATTGGCCTGCACCCACTGCTTGGCTTGTGTTGTGTCTAATCACAGTACAGCTGGGTCGCCAGCAGCGCGCACATGCACCCCCTGCCCAGAAGTGCTGGATCACATACTAGGTACATCATCCAGCACAGGAGACACATTCTGCCACCGTATAACTAGGTTATGTGGTCAGCAAGTGGTTAATCCACAAAAATGCTGTGTGTAGTTGCTAGGGGAGGAACAAAAGAGACATATAATAGATTGTTACTTGAATGACAGCTTTGAGACTGCTGGCATCACATCCAAGGAGGTGGAACCCATCAGCTGTCTCAAGGCTTTTAGATGTCTATACAAGGCAGGCTTTTACAGGTAAAAACAAGCATAAAATGTGTCAAACACACCAATAACCTTAGGAAAAGGTGTTTGTTGAAATTAATAGTATGGTGACAGGGTCTCTTTAAAGGTTTTATATATGGGAGAAGGTGTATGTATTGGAATCTTGTACTGTATTTTGTTATCATGTGCCTTGAAATACACAATTAATTAAAATTCTCTTTCCATCAAACTCAGTCAAACCCAGCCCATGTAACAGACAAGGATTTAGCACTGAATTAGCATGATCCAAAACTAAAAGAAAAAAGTTTTCTTGACATACACTTTAACAAGGTAAACCAGAGATAGACTGACAAACTACAGTTGTGACCAAAATTATTCAACCCCCAATGCTGTAAAGGGGTTTAGGGACTATAGTGTACATTTGGAATTGTATTCAGAATCAAATCCTACAAGGACGTTGTAACTACCCAAATGCAACTAAAATGACATCAATTGTTTATGTAATACAGTAGTAAATGGTTCTTATGTGGTTTCTTCATTGCCACAATTATTCAACCCCTTAAAGACTACCACTCTGAAGAACAGAGGTTCATACAGGTGCTTTCCATCAGGTATTGAAAACACCTGTGGATGTCACCGAGCAGCAATCAAGCATAATAAGCACCAATTAGGCAGCTTTAAAATGACTGTGATACTCAGCTCCTTCTAGACATTTACTGGTGTGGTTACAAACATGGTGAAGGCAAGAGAATGGTCCAGGAAGACAAGAGAAGAGGTGATTTCTCTTCACAGGAAGGGCAATGGCTATAAGAAGATTGCAAAGATGTTAAACATACCAAGAGACACCTTAGGAAGCATCATTCGCAAATTCAAGGCAAAGGGCACTGTTGAAACGCTACCTGGTCGTGGCAGAAAGAAGATGCTGACTTCGACTGCTGTGCGCTACCTGAAGCGTAGAGTGGAGAGAAGTCCCCGTGTGACTGCTGAGGAACTGAGAAAAGATTTGTCAGATGTGGGTACAGAAGTTTCAGCCCAGACAATAAGACGCACACTGCGTAATGAAGGCCTCCGTGCCAGAACTCCCAGGCGTACCCCCTTGCTGTCTCCAAAGAATAAGAAGAGTCGACTGCAGTATGCCAAAAGCCATGTGGACAAACCACAAAAGTTGTGGGATAGTGTTCTGTGGACTGATGAAACAAAATTAGAACTGTTTGGGCCCATGGATCAACGCTATGTTTGGAGGAGGAAGAACAAGGCCTATGATGAAAGAACACCTTGCCTACTGTGAAGCATGGTGGAGGGTCAATCATGCTTTGGGGCTGTTTTGCTTCTGCAGGTACAGGGAAGCTTCAGCGTGTGCAAGGTACCATGAATTCTCTTCAGTACCAGGAGATATTGGATGGAAACGTGATGCAGTCCGTCACACACCTGAGGCTTGGGAGACGTTGGACCTTTCAACAGGACAATGATCCCAAGCATACCTCCAAGTCCACTAGAGCATGGTTGCAGAGGAAAGGCTGGAACATTTTGGAGTGGCCATCGCAGTCACCAGACTTAAATCCGATTGAGAACCTCTGGTGGGACTTAAAGAAAGCAGTTGCAGTGCGCAAGCCTAAGAATGTGACTGAACTGGAGGCCTTTGCCCATGAAGAATGGGCGAAGATACCCGTAGATCGCTGCAAGACACTTGTGTCAAGCTATGCTTCACGTTTAAAAGCTGTTATAACTGTAAAAGGATGCTGTACTAAGTACTAAGATTGAATGTCACTTGGGGGTTGAATAAAACTGATAATGCTGTGAGCACAGAAAAGACATTTGTGGTTATTTCATTATAACTGTTATGTTATATTTGTCTGACCTACAAGTGCCTCTTTAATGTAAATGTAAGCAAGATGACTGAATGATCAAAAGCAATGTCAAACTGGCCAAAACACTCAATTTCAGTGGGGGTTGAATAATTTTGGTCACAACTGTATATATATATGGGATGCATTATACAATAAATTCTTAATTTACACTTACAATTGAGGGCAATTGCAAAGGCAGCCTTAATGGTATACAAAGACTGTAGCCGGGATACTTTGCATTGTAGCATGGCAAAAATGATTCCCCTTGTCACATTAGGTGGGCAGTGGTGAACCTAACCCATTTAAGTGAATTGATCTGTTTGCAACTGCCCCACAACTTTTTAGAATGCAGGTGGTTGCAGCGTGGTGGCCACATGGAAGAAAAATATATTTTAAATACATTTAAAAAATATCCTTCCCAAATATATTGACATATATTTGAAATACTACAATTTTGGCCATATTAAATATATTTCAATAAATATATATATATATATATATATATATATATATATATACTGTATGTTGAAACGCGTTTTTATTACAAAATATATGAAAACTATTTTTAAAATTACATTTTCAAATATACTGTATGTCTTTAAAAATACATTTAATCTACATTTTTGAAATGCATTTACAAATATATGTCAACGTATATGTTAAAATGACTTTTATATATGTGAAAAAAATCTGAAGAAAATATTTTAAAAATATATATTTTTCATATATTTTGTAATATCTAAAAATTGCATTTCAACATGCAGTATATATATATATATATATATATATATATATATATATATATATTATATAATTTTTTTTAATATATATTGAATACAGCCAACATTTTAATATTTCAAATATATGCCAATATATTTGGGAAGAATATTTTAAAAATATATTTCAAATATATTTTTCTTCCATGTGGGGTTGCAGGCTTTTAGGGGTTAAAACAGGCAGTGAGATAGCAACATAATGCCTGTCAAACACCCCTGAAAACCTGCCATGGATTAATATTCAAAGGGGCATACCATG